CTTGTAGAGTGAGAATACTTGTAGAGTGAGAAAATACTTGTAGAGTGAGAGAATGCTTGTAGAGTGAGAGAATGCTTGTAGAGTGAGAGAATACTTGTAGAGTGAGAGAATACTTGTAGAGAGAATACTTGTAGTGAGAGAATACTTGTAGAGTGAGAGAATACTTGTAGAGAGAATACTTGTAGTGAGAGAATACTTGTAGAGTGAGAGAATACTTGTAGAGTGGGAGAAATACTTTGAGTGAGAGAATACTTGTAGAGTGAGAGAATGCTTGTAGAGTGAGAGAATGCTTGTAGAGTGAGAGAATACTTGTAGAGCGAGAGAATACTTGTAGAGCGAGAGAATACTTGTAGAGCGAGAGAATACTTGTAGAGTGAGAGAATACTTGTAGAGTGGAGAGAATACTTGTAGAGTGAGAGAATTACTTGTAGAGTGAGAGAATACTTGTAGAGTGAGAGAATACTTGTAGAGTGAGAGAATACTTGTAGAGTGAGAGAATACTTGTAGAGTGAGAGAATACTTGTAGAGTGAGAGAATACTTGTAGAGTGAGAGAATACTTGTAGTCAGAGAATACTTGTAGAGTCAGAGAATACTTGTAGAGTGAGAGAATAAATTATTGAAATTAATTTCGAAGACAGGAATAAATAAGAGATAAAAACAGGGTGCTGAGGATGTCTACCCAGGATAGCACCTGCCCAGGATAGCACCTGCACAGGATAGCACCTGCACAGGATAGCACCTGCCCAGGATAGCACCTGCACAGGATAGCACCTGCCCAGGATAGCACCTGCACAGGATAGCACCTGCCCAGGACAGCATCTACCCAGGATAGCACCTGCACAGGATAGCACCTGCACAGGATAGCACCTGCACAGGATAGCACCTGCACAGGATAGCACCTGCACAGGATAGCACCTGCCCAGGACAGCATCTACCCAGGATAGCACCTGCCCAGGATAGCACCTACCCAGGACAGCATCTACCCAGGATAGCACCTGCCCAGGATAGCACCTGCCCAGGATAGCACCTGCACAGGACAGCATCTATCACCAGGATTAGCACCTACCCAGGACAGCATCTACCCAGGATAGCACTGCCCAGGATAGCACATACCCAGGACAGCATCTACCCAGGATAGCACCTGCCCAGGATAGCACCTGCCCAGGATAGCACCTACCCAGGACAGCATCTACCCAGGATAGCACCTACCCAGGACAGCATCTACCCAGGATAGCACCTGCCCAGGATAGCACCTACCCAGGACAGCATCTACCCAGGATAGCACCTACCCAGGATAGCACCTACCCAGGACAGCATCTACCCAGGATAGCACCTACCCAGGATAGCACCTACCCAGGATAGCACCTACCCAGGACAGCACCTACCCAGGATAGCACCTACCCAGGATAGCACCTACCCAGGACAGCATCTACCCAGGATAGCACCTACCCAGGATAGCACCTACCCAGGATAGCACCTACCCAGGACAGCACCTACCCATGACAGCACCTACCCAGGACAGCACCTACCCAGGACAGCACCTACCCAGGACAGCACCTACCCAGGACAGCACCTGCCCAGGATAGCACCTACCCAGGATAGCACCTACCCAGGATAGCACCTGCACAGGATAGCACCTGCCCAGGATAGCACCTACCCAGGACAGCACCTACCCAGGATAGCACCTACCCAGGACAGCACCTACCCAGGATAGCACCTACCCAGGATAGCACCTGCCCAGGATAGCACCTACCCAGGACAGCACCTGCCCAGGATAGCACCTACCCAGGACAGCACCTGCCCAGGATAGCACCTACCCAGGACAGCACCTGCCCAGGATAGCACCTGCCCAGGACAGCACCTACCCAGGATAGCACCTGCACAGGATAGCACCTGCCCAGGATAGCACCTACCCAGGATAGCACCTGCACAGGATAGCACCTACCCAGGATAGCACCTGCACAGGATAGCATCTGCCCAGGATAGCACCTACCCAGGATAGCACCTGCACAGGATAGCACCTGCCCAGAATAGCACCTACCCAGGATAGCACCTGCCCAGGATAGCACCTACCCAGGATAGCACCTGCACAGGATAGCACCTGCACAGGATAGCACCTGCACAGGATAGCACCTACCCAGGATAGCACCTGCCCAGGATAGCACCTACCCAGGATAGCACCTGCACAGGATAGCACCTGCACAGGATAGCACCTGCACAGGATAGCACCTGCACAGGATAGCACCTACCCAGGATAGCACCTACTCAGGATATCACCTACCCAGGATAGCACCTGCACAGGATAGCACCTACCCAGGATAGCACCTACTCAGGATAGCACCTGCACAGGATAGCACCTACCCAGGATAGCACCTACCCAGGATAGCACCTACCCAGGATAGCACCTACCCAGGATAGCACCTGCCCAGGATAGCACCTAGTCAGGATATCACCTACCCAGGATAGCACCTGCCCAGGATAGCACCTGCCCAGGATAGCACCTACCCAGGATAGCACCTACCCAGGATAGCGCCTGCCCAGGATAGCGCCTGCCCAGGATAGCGCCTGCCCAGGATAGCGCCTGCCCAGGATAGCACCTGCCCAGGATAGCACCTACCCAGGATAGCACCTACCCAGGATAGCACCTGCCTAGGATAGCGCCTGCCCAGGACAGCACCTACCCAGGATAGCACCTACCCAGGATTGCGCCTGCCCAGGATAACACCTACCCAAGATAGCACTTACCCAGGATAGCACTTACCCAGGATAGCATTTACCCTGGATAGCACCTACCCAGGATAGGACCTGCCCAGGATAGCATCTACCCAGGATAGCACCTACGCAGGATAGCACCTTCCCAGGATAGCACTTATTTAGGATAGTACCTACCCAGGACAGCACCTACCCAGGATAGCACCTACCCAGGATAGCGCCTGCCCAGGATAGCACCTGCCCAGGATAGCACCTGCCCAGGATAGCACCTGCCCAGGATAGCACCTGCCCAGGATAGCATCTACCCAGGATAGTACCTGCCCAGGATAGCACCTGCCCAGGATAGCACCTGCCCAGGATAGCACCTGCCCAGGATAGCACCTGCCCAGGACAGCACCTGCCCAGGATAGCACCTACCCAGGATAGCACCTACCCAGGGTAGCACCTGCCCAGGATAGCGCCTGCCCAGGATAGCGCCTGCCCAGGATAGCACCTGCCCAGGATAGCACCTTCCCAGGATAGCATCTACCCAGGATAGCACCTGCCCAGAATAGCACCTGCCCAGGATAGCACCTGCCCAGGATAGCACCTGCCCAGGACAGCACCTACTCAGGATAGCACCTACCCAGGATAACACCTACCCAGGATAGCACCTACCCAGGGTAGCACCTGCCCAGGGTAGCACCTACCCAGGGTAGCATCTGCCCAGGGTAATACCTGTACAGGATAGCATTTACCCTGGATAGCACCTACCCAGGGTAGCACCTAGCCAGGGCAGCACCTGCCCAGGATAGCACTTACCCAGGACAGCACCTACCCAAGATAGCGCCTGCCCAGGATAGCGCCTGCCCAGGATAGCACCTACCCAGGATAGCGCATGCCCAGGATAGCACCTACCCAGGATACTACCTACGCTGGATAGCACCTACCCAGGATAGCATCTACCCAGAATAGTACCTACCCTGGGTAGCGTCTACCCAGAAAAGCACCTACCCCGAATAGCACCTACCCAGGATAGCACCTGCCCAAGACTGCACCTGCCCAGGATAGCACTTGCCCAGGATAGCACTTACCCAGGACAGCACCTGCCCAGGATAGCACCTACCTAGGATAGCACCTGCCCAGGATAGCACCTGCCCAGGATAGCACCTGCTCACGGTAGCATCTGCCCAGGATAGTACCTGCCCAGGATAGCATTTACCCTGGATAGCACCTACCCAGGATAGGACCTGCCCTGGGTAGCATCTACCCAGGATAGCACCTACCCAGGATAGCACCTACCCAGGATAGCATCTTCCCAGGATAGCATCTACGCAGGATAGCGCCTACCCATGATAGCATCTGCCCAGGATAGCATCTACCTAGGACATCACCTACCCATGATAGCAGCTTCCCAGGGTAGCACCTTCCCAGGAGAGCACTTACCCACAATAGCACCTAACCACGATAGCACTTACCCACAATAGCACCTACCCACGATAGCACCTAACTACGATAGCACATAACCACAACAGCACCCAACTACAACAGCACCTAACCACGATAGCACTCGGAATAATGAATTCCGAAAGGATGATGTCAATGCCTGCATTTTCCTTCGATCTGTTGCCAGCCATCCTAGTAATGTACATGACAGCTGTAACTGTTCTGGTGATGTGGTTTTCTTAGGTAACCTTGAAACATTCTCAGGTACCGTGGACGTAGCCAAGATTACAACGCATTTACTGTTGCTTGTGTGACCTAATTCACGTCTGCATAAATAACTCATTACGGTTGTGGCCAGATATAAATATGTAAGCAGTGCTTTTCCAATATGACTTATTCAGCTATCACAACCTTGTGGACCAGTCCCTGGGCCCATTATGTGCCTCTAATGTTGAGGTACTGTCCCTGGGCCCATTATGTGCCTCTGTAATGTTGAGGTACTGTCCCAGGGCCCATTATGTGCCTCTAATGTTGAGGTACTGTCCCTGGGCCCATTATGTGCCTCTGTAATGTTGAGGTACTGTCCCTGGGCCCATTATGTGCCTCTAATGTTGAGGTACTGTCCCTGGGCCCATTATGTGCCTCTAATGTTGAGGTACTGTCCCTGGGCCCATTATATGCCTCTGTAATGTTGAGGTACTGTCTCTGGACCCGTTATGTACCCCTAATATTTTGACTACTGCCCACAGGATGGATATGGGAATCATAACAGATACCTAACAGCTGGTGTAGACTCTTGGAGTTTTAATTATTCTTAATTTAGTGAAGACAGCAAGTCTATGGGATTACTGACACGAAATCAGATGGAAGGAACTTTTTACTGATGATTGATCAAGGAGACATAGCTTCTGCAAAACATACTCTGAAAATTATAACTCCGAGCAGTTATTAGGTAGACATAAATCACAGAAGAGTTGGACGTCAAGGTGGATGACTTGACCGCCACTCTTACAGGTGGTAGTGTTGGTGAAGATGCTGAGATCTGTTTGCTGGGGTGAAAATAAGATCCAGGCCATGTCGCAGCCACACCTCAGAGGGTTGCCTGGAAAGATACAATGCAAATAAGTCACTTTGACTTATGAAGGCTCTTGTTAGAACCTGGATATTATTGTATTTTCATCAAATACATGGAAAGTATCCCTAATTTAGGTATTGAAGTATTCTTGACTGGTTGTGAGAGGTCAAACAATATGCAGGATACTCACCTGCTAGGTCAAGAGTTCCCGTAGGTACAAGCTGATCAAATAGGTGACTCCATGAGTCCTCGTCCAGTTCAACTACTGTGTTGTTCCTCATTGAGACTACAGCATCAGGAAGCAACCCTGTTGTAGAAGATGTTGAAAAGTTAGGAACCACATACCTGTTTCCTCTGTATGACCACACACACCTGTGTTTTGTGTATGACCACACACACACACACCTGTGTCCTGTGTATGACCCCACACACACACACCTGTGTCAGTGTCCTGTGTGTGTGATGTTTACTCAAACTTGTTCATGTGTGACAACGATAATTTTTCAGAATTAATAACGAGGTACAGTGGAGAAGCCGTGTTGAAGCAGCAGTGTTGGAGGAGGGATTTCTTCCCTTCTAGCAAACTTGGTAATCTCGTAATATTGCGAGTTAAGTGTTACTAACCTTTAGCAAGTGTTGTTGCAACACAAGTATAATATTAAGTGTTGTGATAATATGCATGTGCTATCGTAGGGTTGATGTAGCACTAATATAGCCCTGATATAGCATTAATAAAGCATTAATACAGAGATGATAATGATGTAACATTCACCTTGAAAAGCGTCGTAGCTAATGCCTGTAATTTTGTTGTAGTCCAGATTGATGGTGGCTAAAGCGTTGCTCTGAGAGGCGATGTAATATTCATCCAGAAATGCAATCTCATTTCCCTCCAGGTCCACTACGGTAAGGTGTAGCAGATCCCAAACCCATTTAAATGGAAGTTCTTCCAGTTTATTTCGTGCCAAATATATTTCCCGTAACGCTGGTGTACCAAGGAAGTCAGTGAGTTGTATTTCTTCATTGCCACTGATGCTGAGAATTTCCAGCGAGTCAGACTGGATTGATGGCAGGACATCAATCTGGTTATCGTCAAGTATCAGCGTCTGAAGCTCTGTATACATTAGAAGAGTTTGAAATGGGAAATATGTTATTTTATTGTCTGAGAGGTTGAGATAGCTGAGGAATTTGTAAGAGTCGCTGAAAGTATTCTCCTCTATGGCTGTCAGCTTAGTTCCTGTGATGATGATTCTCTCAAAAGAAAGTCCAATGAATATATTCGGCTCAAGTGCGTTTAGATTATACTCCGGATCACTGGGATTCTGCTGAATCGTGAGCTCCACAAATTCACCGAAGGGAAACACGGAACTAAACACTCTGGCTAATTCGTCATTGCTCTTCACTAGGGAACAATCCAGACTCATATCAAAGTGGGGATCAGCTGTACATATGCAAGGTGAGATCTCCGTACTGCCAGGGCAAGGCCACTCCTTAGGCTGTGACTCTCTGATTGTGGATTCCGGAGTCACCACCACACCAAGCACCACCACACACGTCACCACAACCTTTAACACCATCCTGCACCAGTGTGCGTCTCCGTGTACATGTGAGCGAGATAATTTATTGTAGCTCACAGCTCACCTTATACCCAGCTTCACTAATCTTATCACACACCATAGTGTCCAAGAAATTTCCAGATACGGTGAATTACGCACGTAACAAACAAAACTGTAAAGTAAATGACGTATTTTAAACTCAGGAACCGCACCAGAAACAGACCACACACTGCCTGATTGTCTCTGTATTATGTTCAGTTCATAGCCTCTCAATTATTAATTATAATCAAAAAGAAGCGCTAAGCCACAAGGGTTATACAGCGCTGCAGGGTAGGGAAGGAAGCGAGGGTATTGGATGGCAGAAGGGAGGAGGGATGATCAGTAGGTTACAGAAAACAGCGGGGCAGGGGATAGTATGGGGGTAGAGGGTAGCAAGAGATTGAAGTAGAAAGGGTTGAAGGTATCAGAATTTGTGAAATAAGTCAGTTGTTGTCAAAAAGTCAATGAGAGAGTCTGGATGAAAGGTGGGTCCATCAGCGAGAAGGGAAGGTAAAGAGAGAGCAGCGGAGCGAAGACGACGACGGAGGTAAATTCTGCGTGCTCGTTGATAAAGTGGGCAGTCCAACAGAATGTGGCCGACTGATAATGGAACTTGGCAATTCTCACAGAGAGGAGCAGGGCGCCTCTCCATGAGATATCCATGAGTAAGACGAGTATGGCCAATGCGAAGACGGGAGAGAGTAGTCTCCCAACCTCGACACTGGTGATAAGAAGACGGCCAGTAACCTATACTCGGTTTAATAGATTGAAGTTTGTTGCCGAGCATAGTAGACCAACGTTGTTGCCAACGGGTGTGAAGGTGGGAAGATATTGCAGCAAAATAGTATGTAAATGGAATACCTCTACATGAAACTGGTAGGTCATGTACTGTTGACCGCGCAGCAGTGTCTGCCTGTTCATTGCCCTGTACATCAACATGACCAGGGACCCAACAAAAAACAATGTCTTTATGCTTGGTAAAGATGCGGCGTAGCCAAAGTTGGATACGGAGGACTAAGGGGTGAGGTGTATCAAATTTCTCTATAACCTGTAAAGCACTAAGGGAGTCTGAAACAACCACAAATGATGACACAGGCATAGATGCAATATGGATAAGTGCTGTAAGGATGGCATACAATTCAGCAGTAAAAATACTAGCCGAAGATAGTAAATGCCCTTGTACGACGCTGTCCGGAAACATTGCTGCGAATCCTATGCCGTCAGAAGACTTAGAGCCATCTGTGTACACAGCAATAGCATGAGAATGAGTGAAAGTGGTCAAGAAAAAGAGAGCGGGAAGCGACCGTAGACAGTTGGGCTTTCGAGCAAGGGAGAGAGAAAGAACAGACTCGAACAGCTGGAACTTCCCAGGGGGGTAGGAAAAAGTGAGATGCTACATGTACATAGAAAGGTGGTAATTGAAGAGAAGACAAGAGCGAATGAAGGCAAAGAGAGAAGGGACAGAGTAAACAGAGGCAGCGAACAAATGAAGAATGTCTACTAATATCAGTGACCATTCTATAAATGGAAGGATTGCGGAGATCATGAGAGCGTACATAGTAGCGAAGGCAATGGGCATCACGGCGATCGGATAAGGATGGAACGTTCGCTTCTGCATAGAGGCTCTCGACAAGGGAAGAGCGAAAAGCACCAAGGCATAAACGTAATCCTTGGTGATGAATGGGGTTAAGGCTAGAGAGAGTAGCAGGAGATGCCGCTGAATAGATCTGGTCACCATAATCAAGTTTCGATAAAATAAGGGTGGAATGTAGGCGAAGGAGGGTTCGACGATCAGCTCCCCATGAAAGATGAGCAAGGGTTTTAAGAAGGTTCAGCCAGCTGTGACAAGTTGCCTTCAGAGAGGTAATGTGAGGTTTCCAGGATAACCTACGATCAAAGAGGAGGCCCAGAAACTTGACTGTATCACGTTCAGGGATACGGGAGCCATAGAGGTACAAAGGATGATCGGAGATGACAGAGCATCTAGAGAAAGTAATTTGGTGGGTTTTAGTGCTGGAAAATTTAAACCCACGTGTGGTGGCCCAATTGGAAACACGGTCGACTGCATGCTGGAGAGAAACTGTAATAAGGTGACAGTCAGCGCCTGCACAGGCAATAGCGAAGTCATCAACATAGAGTGATGACCAAATATTTGATGGAAGACTGGAGGCCAAATCATTAATAGCAAGGAGAAAAAGTGTTGTGCTCAGAACACATCCCTGGGGGACACCTTCAGCTTGGATAAAGTCCGGGGAGAGCACATTATTAACCCGAACACGGAAATGCCTGCCAGTTAAAAAGTTCTGAAGGAAGGATGGTAGATTGCCTCGAAGGCCTAAGAAGTGGGCTTGGGCTAAAATATTATACCTCCAAGTTGTGTCACATGCCTTCTCAAGGTCAAAAAATATGGCAATAACTGAGTGGTTATTCGCAAAGGCATTACCAACATACGTATCCAAGCGTAGTAAGGGGTCTATGGTAGAACGTCCCTTACGAAAGTCATATTGACAAGTGGAGAGACTGTTGTGTGTCTCTAAATACCACACTAAACGTCTATTTACTAGGCGTTCCATCACTTTGCAAACTGCACTGGTAAGAGCAATGGGACGATAGTGGGAGGTTTCATGTCCCGTAGTGCCTGGTTTGCGGAAAGGGAGAACAATGGCGGATTTCCACAGCTGTGGAAGAACTCCTTGTGACCAAATAAGATTGTAAAGGCGTAATAGGACTGCAAGGGCTGACTGATGTAAATGTTGTAACATACGAATATGAATGTCGTCGGGCCCAGCTGCCGATGATCGGCAAGCTGAGAGTGTTGCCTCCAGTTCTTGAAGTGTAAAAGGCACATTATACTGTTCTTTTCTGAGAGAAGAAAAGTCCAAGGGTGCTAACTCTCTGGCAGACTTTGAGGAAAGAAATGAGGGGCATACATGGAGTCCCTGAGAAATACAGACCAGATGATTGCCAATTTCATTGGCAACATCTAGTGGGTTTGCTATATCAACACCGGCAACCCGCAGAACAGGAGCTGGGTCAGGAGAATATTTACCACTCAGTTTTCGTACTTTTTTCCAGACTGCACTCATAGAGGAAGCAGAGGTGATGGTGGAGACAATCTCGCCAACAAGTGCATTTAGCGTCACAGATGACATGGCGAGCGATCGCACGCTTCTGCTTAAAATCAAGAAGTCTCTCTGTGGTTCTATTGTACCGGTACCTGCCCCATGCAGCGCGTTTCAAACGTACTGCACGAGCACAAGCAGGAGACCACCAAGGCACGCATTTCTGAGAATGCCTGCCCGAAGTTTGGGGTATAGAATGAGAAGCTGCGGTTAAAACGGAGGACGAGAAGAGGTGTAAAAGCTCATCGATGGAGGATGAAGAAGGAACCTCTAAAAACAGTTAGGTGTGAGTAAAGGTTCCAATTTGCCTGATCAAATTGCCAGCGTGGGATGCGAAGAGGTGGTGAATATGAAGGGGAAGTAAGAATGATTGGGAAATGATCGCTGTCATGTAAGTCCAGAAGAACAGACCAAGTGAAGTCTAATGCGGCGGAGGAAGAGCAGACTGAGAGATCGATGCAAGAGAGAGTGAGAGTCTGAGGATCAAAATGGGTGTGAGTACCTGTATTTAAAACATGGAGGGGGTGGGTGGCAAGAAAAGCCTCTAACTGAATGCCACGGGAATCACAGTGAGACCCCCCAGAGGAAATGGTGGGCATTAAAATCACCAAGTAACAGAATCGGTGGCGGTAATGACGAAACAAGAAAGGCAATATCCGGAATAGATAATGCCCGAGAAGGAGAGAGATATAAAGAACAGAGTATACCACCTATGCAAGTGGATACAGGCTGCTGTGTAATGCAGCGAAGTACGAACAAATAGCTGATGGTATGGAATATCAGTGCGTAGAAGGGCACTTTCATTAAAGGTCCCATCAGGAAAAGGATCTGAAGAATACAATAAATTATAGCCTGAGATGGGAGAGATAACAGCAGAGTGTAATTTTGGTTCCTGTAAGCAAACACCAACAGGGGAAAACTGGGAGAGTAACATCTGAAGCTCACCCCGATTACCCCTGAGGCCGCGTATATTCCACTGTAAATAGGCCATGATCGGCAGGTAAGGGTTCCTACGGACTAGAGGGGTTAGAAAAGTCCACATGTGGAGGCAGTGGAAAACATTCAAGCAGCGAATGAACGGTGCGCTGTGAAGAAAGGAGTTGCGCAGATGGAGTAGAGGAGAGAGAAGGAGCGGAGGGTGGATCAGTGTCCATTGATGGTTTGGTCTCTGCAATATATTCAGAGATTGCTTCAAGTGATTCAGAATTCAGAGACGTCGTATGGGAGACAATATTGGAAATGGTAGGGGGAGGATGAGTAAAGATTGGAACTGTAATGGACTGTACTAAGGTAGGGGGGGCGAAAGGGTGGAGGGAACTGGAGAAGCATGGAAGGGGACAGAAGAGGCAAAAATCTGGGAGGTGGCAGAAGAGGAAGAAACTTGGGAGGGAACAGGGGAGGAAGATACAGTACGAGGAGGAGGGTGAACCTCTACACTTGTAACAGAGCCAGTGAGAGGGGTAGAACCAGGTACAGAGACAGGGAAGGGAAAATGAGGAGGTGGAAGATGGGTAGGAGGTGTTAACGGACCTTTTTTTGACTTCTGAGAAGTAGAGGGATGATTGGGAGGAGGTGTCATACGAGATCTTGTTGCTACTGAGGCTTGTGAGAGAGAACACAAAGAAGCGAGATCAGACAGACGTTGAAGTAGGGACGTCTGAGCCGAGGACAGCAAAAGAATTAGCTACAGGAGTGACTATGGGAGAGTTAACCACAGAGGTGGGTGCAGAAGATGGGATACCATAAGTGGGGGGACGTTTTGAAACACGGGAATAAGAAACACGAGGTAGTCTCCCTTGGAGGCGGAGATGAGAAACTGCCATGGCATAAGGGAGACCTTCTGCCTCTTTGAGGTAACGGATTTCCCGCTTGTTTAAGTAGACTTGACAACGGTGAGAGTACGAAGGGTGAGCCTCATGACAATTAAGGCAAGAGGGAGGTCGATTGCAAGACGTATTAGAATGGTCATCGGCACCACAGACTGGGCATTCAGCGATAGATCTGCAATATTTCGCTGGATGGCCAAATCGCCAGCAATTTCTACACTGTTGCAGTGTAGGGATCACCTTTCGAACTTGTAACCAATTTCCTGCTACATAAACTGAGGATGGGAGTTCACGGCTGTCAAAAGTTAAACGAGCCACATTGCTAGGGTATCGTCTCCGCCCGCGGGCAGGAAGAACGTAAGTGTCTACCTTGAGGATTGGGAGATCTTGGAGTTCCAGCTGTTCAAGAATGTCAGTGCCACATGTCCTAAAATTTTGTTGAACTATGGTATGGGGCAGAATGACGGTACCACTACAAGAATTGAGGGAATGATGCTTTTCAATAGTGACAGGAACAGTATCGATATGGGAAAGACGAGAAAGCTCATGAGCCTGGGTAGCATTCTGTACGGTGATGCGCGTACCACTCTTAAGAGCATGAAAAGAAATATCTTTATCAACATGGCGTATGAGTGCCTTGCCAATACTGTGGTCAGAAAGATAGGCAGTAGAGGAAGTCGGTCGTAAACTGAAGAATTTAGTCCATTGTGCAGTCTGAAACTGAGCGTGGAAAGGTAGTGAAGGATGTGTCGATCTTTTCTGAGAAGAACGAGGTGGAGAAGTATCATCAGCAGGTAATTGTCGTTGGCGTTTAGGCGTGGGACCAGAGTTGGTCCGACGTGGAACAGGCCGGCGATTCGAAAATTGCCGCACCATAGAGGGAGAGGCCGGAAGCATAGTCAGAGGAGAGCGAAGGTCAGATAAATCGAAGGAGTCAGTCGAGGCCTCAGTACCTGAAGCTGGTGAGGAAACAGCACCGGCAAGAGGTACAGAGGCATGAGGAGTGTCCGAAGAGTGGTCCAAAGACGAGGCGGGGTCAGAACGGGGTGCGGTATCAAGAAGGGGCCCGGGGGTAGCAGGTTCATGGACTAGGGCTGCCATGGTTAGGTTACTTCTTTCTTTTTGTTAAGAAAAAAAAGAAAGAAAATAAAAATAAAAAAAGAATAAAAAAAAGGGGGGACCGGGGAGGGATAGTTCCTAGGAGGAATGAAAGGGCCAGAAATCTCCCTCCGCGCCCAAGAGGACCTCAGCACCGCAAGTAGCGCAGATGCAGCATGGAACCCGTGCCATACCCTACCCATCATGCCAGTAAACCAGCAATGCGGGATAGCAACCTCACATCTGCCGAGCTACCTCGGTGGACAAAAGAGAGGGCGGCCGGAAATCCGCCACAAAGCATACCTCCTTCGGCCACCACCCCCGGAATCCGAAAGGTGGCTTCCAGAGATACACCCGTCGTCCGAGAGACGCCCAAAGCCACCCTCCAGGATACCGGAGAGGGATCAGGACATCCCCAGGCAATCCAGATTCCACGGCAAACTACGCCACCGCCAAGAACCTCAACGGAATGGGATGGACCCCGGTACCCTTTCCCCTACCTAGGAACTAGCGTGCCTGTGGGAAAAAAAAAAAAACACCAAAGGCCAAAAAGGAAGGGCAAAAGGGAGAGGTGGGGAGGAGGAGGAGGAAAGGAAAAAGGGGAGGATGGGGTAGGGAACGGGGGATTGGGGGGTAATTAGGTTCGGTCTGAGGAAGTAGACCGACAGGTCTAATTCCTCAGACCAAGAGCCTCTTCACCACTCCAAGGAGCCCCCCTTGAAGAGGATAGCCTCTCAAGAAGTTAGTAAGCCGATACAAGTCGTCTTTCTGTTGACGGTCTTTCTGTTGACGAAGAGTTCCGTCTGCACAGGAGGAGTCAACTGTCGAATGCAGAGGTGATGACAATACCGGAGACGACAGAAGACAGGAAGAGGTAATAATAATATAATAATAATAATATCTATTTCTACCAGTACATGTACAAGGTATACAAACCATAGCTGACATCAGTGACATACTACTATATAGAAAGCCGCTGGTTATGCTGAGCATTTCCCGCAAATTAGGTTAATTTTGTCCCAGGATGTGACTCACACCAGTGCACTAACACCCAGTTACCTACTTTACTGATGGGTGAACGTGGACAACCAGTTTAAGGAAACACGCCCAATGTTTCTACCCTCGCCATGAATCGAACCCGGATCAGCGTGTGAAGCGAGAGTTTTTGCTCAGCCCTAAAGCCAGTCAGTCTTCAGTCAGAGACTGGCCATATTCAAGGCTGAAGTGACTGATCTCCAATTACTGTCTCGAATATTTTAAACACCTCTGTATTCTACTGATGAAACCTACATGTTCCACTTCGGTTAAGTCCGTCAGGAAACAGGAAAAGCGTTTCCTGACGCTGGTCTTAGTCATATGACCCACAGCTGGAGCTTTTGGCCACCTGAGCGAGACCTTCCACTGGCTTACCACTTGTCGGATTCTATAGCATTAAAATGACATCAACCATATCTACCAAAAAATATTAATACCTGACCACTTAGACTGTTCCAGTCTCTATAAACACTTGAATCTTCTAAACGCAACAAACAGACAATGAATATATTTTAAAAGCTAGGAGCTAGGATCCCCAGTTCTTACTCGGCTCATTGCAAATTCTGCTTCCAGCAATAAATTTACTTCAAACTTAATCTGAATTACAATATTGTATACGGTGCTACATTTTCAGTATGGAATTATAAAATAAATTCAACATACTAGTGTTAATACTTAACACTAATTATTTTATACTTAGTGTCAACATACAAATCCACCATACTAGGATACCAGACTACTAAGAGTCATCCTAGTAGTCAATTACCACCCGACTAGGTTAGCTAGACTTAACCATTGTTACATATAACTCACTGCACTTACAGCATGAAAAATATTTTAACATGATATTAATTTCAATCGAAGCGCTAAACTCGCGTGGGTTATTCGGTGCAGGGAATAGCTGAGGCTTGATCCTCCTGCTCGTCTTGAGGCTGTCTGGCTATCATTCAATATACACATTTCTTGGAACATTTTCAGCGAATTGCACTCAGCAGTGCACATTCTCACATACATGGGATGTAGTTACACTGGGTATCTATTTGTGGATGTACCGCCATCCAGTGGCTTAATCGGTACAGTTCAAGGGTATATTGTGAAGTCGAAATATATACAGAAGATCAGATAATCAGTCCCTCAGGCTTGGAGTTAGTGAAGATTACCGTTCTCTTGAAGAATCTGAAGCACAGGCAGCAGATTTCTGAACTGACTGGAACGAAATGTGAGTTAGTTGTAAAAATCGTATAACCCTTAGAGTTGTACTTAATGCGTATGAGGGAATTTTGGTTGTGACAGCCTGTAGTGGAAGTTAGAAGCGTGGAGACACGTGTAATACTTGGTAATCTTCATTAATCAAACGTTTCCACAAATCGTACACAAGTGTCTCATTTTTCAATTTTGTTTTCTAAATTATTTACATCCGTTAGAAGGCTGTATCTGCCAGCGTCTTGGCATCCATGATGCTAGCCTCGTTCTCTTCTGGCTTGATAAGATAACTGAGGAAGGTATAAGGAGAGCTGTGAGCAGCAAGGAGTCATCTTGCTGAGAGACACACACACAGGTTGCAGGATGGTGTTGAAGGCTGTGGTGAGTGTAGTGGTGTTGGTCGGAGTGGTGGTGATTCCTGCCTTCACAAGCAGCAATTCTGGGGATTTAACAAGACCACAACCTCGGGAGTGGCCCTGTCCTATAGAAACCGACTTCTACCCTTGCGTGTGTACTAACAATGAAAATTATGAGCTAAGTATAGACTGTTCTGCTGTTGAAACAGATCAAGATTTATCAGACGCTTTTTACTATGCTGAATTTCCTTTTAGCCATTTCAAGGAGTTTAAAATAGAACACGACCCAAATGATCCCAAAATGACACTGACCACACTTGATCCTTACACCTTCCGTACCTTAACATTTGAGCGAATCACCATAAGCGGCACCAAGATCGAAATTATACAGGACGAAGACTTCTCTAACTCCCACGATACACTCACATATCTTAACCTCGCAAGCAACAAGATAACTTACTTCCCATTCGACTCCATACAAGGCTACACAAACCTGCAGACTTTGTCTCTTGACGATAATCAAATTGAAGTTTGGCCAAACTTTGAGTCAGATTCTCTGGAATACCTCAGCTTCAGTGGCAATGAAGGAATTACCCTCACTGATTTTACCAATACACCAAATCTACGAGAAATTTATATGGCACGAAACAAACATGATACTCTTCCATATCAGTTGTTTTGGAATCTGTTCAACCTTACTGTAGTGGACCTACAGAGAAATGAAATGACTTTCGTGGATGAATATTACATAGCCTCTCAGAGCAACGCCTTAACCACCATTAATTTGGACCACAACAAAATATCAGTTATCCGTCACGACGCTTTTCACGGTGAGTGTTACATTATCATTCTATTATTGCTATATTAATGCTACATCAGGGCTATATTAGGGCTACACGAACCCTATGATAGCACATATATTATCACAACACTTAAGATTATACTTGTGTTGCAACACTTGCTAAAAGTTAGTCAGTAACACTTTACAGTTACAGCAGAATATTACGAAATTATCAAGTTTGCCAGAAGGGAGGAAATCCCTCCTCCAACACTTTCTCCACTGTAAGACTCATTATAAATTCTGATAAATGATTGTTGTCACACATGAACAAATTTGAGCAAGCATCACACAGGACACATTGACACAGGTGTCTGGTCATTCACAGGGCACGTGTGTAGTCATACCGAGGAAATAGGTGTGTGGTCATAGAGGACACAGGTGTAGTCATACACAGGACAGGTGTGTGGTTCCTAACTTATCAACGTCTCCTACAACAGGGTTGCTTCCTGATGCTGAAGTCTCAATGAAGAACAACTCGGTAGTTGATCTGGACGAGGACTCGTGGAGTCACCTACTTGATCAGCTTGTACCAACGGGAACTCTTGACCTAGCAGGTGAGTGCCTTGCAGTCTTACTGGCTAACGGATAAATGTACCTCGGAGATCCAAGACTACAGTGCTAAACGTACCAGTCTCAGTTGTGATAAATGATTTTAGCAGTGTACATCGTTCAAGGGTGAGTACCTTGAGAGAGGTAAGATCTTGAGCCTATGAATTAAAGCTCCTCCTTTCTTCCCTTGTACCAGCAGTAATTACGCCCCTTTACACAGACTATTTATGCCCCCCCCCCCCGTTCAGCGCAGCCCCATAACTACAGTAATAATATTTGTGGGGAATAAATTACCTGCATTAACCTTATTACATTCATACAAGTAATTTAATTAGGAAGGCAATAAAGATAACTATTACTTACCAATTGTTACACCTCTGAGGCATGTAGGAATATTTTGAAACACCCTAGATTACAAGGAGAATGTCTCCCTTCCATACCTACTACCCTCACACACTCCCACATCTACTCTGGACGTATATTAACATTAAATTTAATAAACATAACCAGTAACTCTGGTAATACTATTTACATTATAAAGTATGTGGAATGTATCATAAGGGTAGACTGACCAAAGAGGGGGGGGGGTACATGGATGTATACATCATATGAGAAAAATTCTTATATATGATACCACCACTTACCAAATTTGTCTGGAGGTCGTCTAGATATAAGGAACCTAACTGACCACAAGTTCAACATAAAAAGTGCAGTGTACTTAGCGGTGGGTGTTGATGGCTCCTTATAAACACCTTTCACCATGTAATTTCGAAGTGCTGCCAAGTTGTTTTGCACATCCTGCAGGACTTTAACTCCTAATTTTTTTTTTCTCCTATTTGAGAGGCATGAACCCCATTTAGCCTCCGGAGCCACTGAATAATTCCCACAAATTTCAATGTGGTCTCGTTTTTCAAATTCCAATATGGCGTCCTCCCTCACCCGACGCTACTTGTTTGCTGGTTCCCTTTTTCATTCCAAATTAATTTTTAACCGACAATTCATTTCATTGAACTACTTTCTAAAATTATGCACTATAATTTCGGAAAATTTAAAAATTTCATGAATAATAATAATATTTGAAGAATAAATAAAGATTAGGGGAATCGAACTGGCGACTTTTGTGGTCAAAAACTTTCAACCTGGATGATTACTCGTTTGAAAAAGCCTCATTACAGGTCAAGAATGTGACCACCTTTGTTTTAATGGCATTGGTCGTGCCTTAACACCCATACTTAATCCCTGTCTAGGTCTCAAGTGGTCTTTAAACATTAGGATTAATCTACCCCAAAATGCACCCCATGTTAATAGCTTCCTTTTGTGACTATATATTATATTTGTATTTGCATATATACTTCCAGGGAATCCACTGAGGTGTGGCTGCGAGATTGACTGGATAATGTTCTCTCCTAAGCAAATTGATCTCAGCATCTTCACCGACACGACTACCTGCATCAGTGGCAATCAACTCATCTTCCTTGACGTTCAATACTTCTGTGACAGATGTGTGCCCAACAACTGCTCGACAACTTAGCCTGCAGGCAGTGTCCTGCAGAAAGTAACATGGCTGCCTGATCAGCTATCGACAGTTTTAAATTTCCATCCCCAGAGTCTGACCACTTAACACCATCTTCAGTGTTTAAAAGCTTCTGTCAGACCCATATATACTGACACCATCTCGGCCCTTAATTTACAAAGCGTGTCACTAAAAAAAAACTGCCTATTTATTGCAAACCAGTTTTACTAAATCGTCAAGGAAACAATTAGAGAAAAAAATGATCTAAGATATATATAAGGACGGAAAATTGTCACCTGACAAATGTCTCAGACGTCACCGATAGAACTTCAACCTGTCACCGATATCTTAGTAGCATCTCGTTAATAACATCCTTATTATAAACTATGTACTGTATGACCTGCCTTCTTAGTAATATGTAATGAATTATGTATATTAAGCATTCTTAATAGGGTATATACACTATATATATATTATATATATATATATATATATATATATTATATATACCTTAGCCCTAACTAAAACAAATATAAATAATAAACACCCGAACAGTTTGTATAAGTTTTAAAGTCCTGTGAATTTTAGGTCAAGAATTATTTTATGTAACAGATTTAAGACAAATCAAAAAGGACATTCCATTGCCTATGTAAATTATAATTTTCTGCCTCTTGGATATTCATACAAATATTTTTTTCTCCAGTTTGTAAAAATTATTATCCTCTATAACTTTTACATTATTTTGTTTCCTGACAAACCTTACCTAACCTCTTGATTATAACCAACAGGTTATAATCAATAGGTAAGCCAGCGGAAGGCGTCGCACCAATGGCGGGTTGTCATCTAAGACCCACGTCAGGAAACATGACAAGATTTCAGGCCAGGGAGCTTACAGTCTCTCAGGAAGAACCCAGATAAGACTTCTTGGTATCTTGATGGGACTTGCGCTATGCCTTGAAATTCAAGGCATTGTCAGCAGTAGCAGACCTATATTTTGGGGGCCCCTGAAGCTTCAACTGCTATGGGGCCCTCTTATGCAGTAAACCCCAAAAAATTTTAATCAATGTGGATTAAAGTGGCTTCGGGGGCCCCTCCAGGATTAGGGGCCCTCAAGCTTAAGCTTCATTTTCACAGTACATCCGTCCCTCGTTGTCTGTCTTACACAACGGGAATGAAAAAGTTATCCAGCATTTCCTGCTTGTAGGGGCGAATTTGATGGATAGTTCTATACAGTTACCTGCGAGTAGGTACTGAAAGATGATCGATATAGGTAAGTACTGGTTTTCAACGTGGTGGATGTGTGAAACAATCTTCCGAGTAGGGTGATCGAGGCTAGGACCCTGGGTCGCTTTAAGAAGAGATTGGTGTCGTGGGTACAGGAGTAAATTCTTGGGTAGTGGTGTTGATAAGGACCTGCCTTGTATGAGCCAGTAGGCCTTCTGCAGTGTTCCTCCATTATGTTCTTATATCATATACCATAGCCATTTAACATTACTGAAGATGATGTATCTACGACTCAAGCCTACCATGCATAAATTTGTAAATACAGCACTGATGGGTGAACCCATGACCATCACAAAACGCTGCCTACAGATGGCTTCACCGAAATGACAATTTAAATCAGTAGACGGCAGCCTTTTAGTATGAAAAGGCCAATTTGGAAAGCAAAATTTAAAGGAGGGTGGTATTTTATATTTTTTATGAAAAAAAAAATGACCATGGTTTGCAATTATTGACACGTGCAGTGTGGAACCTATATAAAAATGAATTCACAATTTCACGTGAAGACCGCATCCATTACTAGAAGGGCCACATGCGGCCCGCGGGCCTCAGGTTAGGGACCCCTGGTTTAAATTAACACAGATCTACGAGGTTCACGGAACCTTCCAAAGAATAGAAAGGTTAATATTGCCAGAAATTTTTCTGTAGCATCACCGTGATGGCCAGTGGCCTGGGGTTGGTGGTAATTAGCCACGTAATGTTAAAACTGTAGGTTCTAACTTCTATGTCGCGTATACACGAGATCCCCAGAGTTTAAGGTGTGCCTGACTGACATAGTAATTTAGACAGGTGCTTAGGGAATGAACCTGACTTGACTGTTGCTTATATCCAACATCCTAGGTTAATGGACACTGATGCAACTAATGTGATATTTTATTGTGGCAACGTTTGTTCGTTTTTCCAACAAGTTGGCCGTCTCCCACCGAGGCAGGATGACCCAAAAAGAAAGAAAATCCCCGAAAAGGAAATACTTTCATCACTCAATACTTTCACCTCAATCATACATAATCACTGTTTTTGCACAGGCGCCCAGATACAACAGCTTAGAAGCATATATGAAGATACAGTATAAAAAGTGACCTGAAATAATAATAAACTATACTATTTACCATATAGATAATATCAGGGGCTCCAATTTATATATATATATATATATATATATATATATATATATATATATATATATATATATATATATATATACCGTCCCATTACAAATCCCTCCAAACTGCCAATATCCCGAACCCCTCCTTCAGAGTGCAGGCATTGTACTTCCCATTTCCAGGACTCAAGTCTGGCTATATAAAAATAACCGGCTTCCCTGAATCCCTCCACTAAATATTACCCTGCTCACACTCCAACAGCTCGTCAGGTCCCAAAAACCATTCGTCTTCATTCACTCCTATCTAACATGCTCACACACGCTTGCTGGAAGTCCAAGCCCCTCGCCCACAAAACCTCCTTTATCCCCTCCCTCCAACCTTTTCGAGGACGACCCCTACCCCGCCTTCCTTCCCCTACAAATTTATACGCTCTCCATGTCATTCTACTTTGATCCATTCTCTCTAAATGACCAAACCACCTCAACAACCCCTCTTCTGCCCTCTGACTAATACTTTTATTAACTCCACACCTAATTTCCACACTCCGAATTTTCTGCATAATATTTACACCACACATTGCCCTTAGACAGGACATCTCCACTGCCTCCAACCGCCTCCTCGCTGCAACATTTACAACCCAAGCTTCACACCCATATAAGTGTCGGTACTACTATACTTTATACACTCCCTTGCCTCCACATATAACGTTTTTTGACTCCACATATACCTCAACGCACCACTCTTCTTTTTTCCCTCATCAATTCTATGATTAACCTCACCCTTCATAAATCCATCCGCCGACACGTCAACTCCCAAGTATCTGAAAACATTCACTTCTTCCATACTCCTCCTCCCCAATTTGATATCCAATTTTTCTTTATCTAAATCATTTGTTACCCTCATCACCTTACTCTTCTCTATGTTCACCTTCTACTTTCTACCTTTACACACACTTCCAAACTCGAGGTAGCAGGTGAAGTGAAAGATTAGTAGTAGTTTCGCTCCTGGAGAGCGAAACGTTGCCTCAGTAAAATGTCAGATGCATGTGTCCATTTGCCTAACATTTTGTTGGTAATTCAACCGTTAATACCATGTGACGTGATATGATCATCTCCCACAAGTGCCTCGATTGTATATACTTTGTCTCGTGAACTTTGTACCACAGGAGTAAACTGTCTCAGGACCGACACGTTTCCCAATAAAATGGTGTTGTTCGGTCTGGGTTGTACCATAATCCATGAAAGCCAGTGTGGCTTATACTGTGGGCCTTCGAGCCTTTTTCCCAGGATGCCACCCACACCAGTCTGCTAACACCCAGGTGCCTACTTACTGCTAGGTGAACAAGGGCAGTAAGTGCAAGGAAATATGCACAATGCTTCCACTCTCCTCAGAGTCAAACCTAAGTCCTTCGGTTGTGAGCCGAGAGCTCTTCCAATTGATCAACGTGGACTAACCCTAGGCCTATCAATGTGGTCTACCCTAGGCCTACCAGTCATTTGAATTCCACATTTTTTGGGGATCAATACCTCCGTGTGGGGTCGTTCCTCTCATGTGCAGACAGATTTTCGTAGAAGTAAAAAAAGAAATAATTAAAAAATTGTATTGATCAGGGAAGACTAGCTATCAACGAGGTTGTGATGGCTGGCATGCGCCTCTGTCAAGCCTCAAGTACAATGTTCATCGAATGTTGTTTGTCATGGTTCTTGTGGCTGCTTAGAGTACAGTGTCAGGTGTTATCATGGTTCTTGTGGCTGCTTAGAGTACAGTGTCAGGCGTTGTTTATCATGGTTCTTGTGGCTGCTTAGAGTACAGTGTCAGGCGTTGTTTATCATGGTTCTTGTGGCTGCTTAGAGTACAGTGTCAGGCGTTGTTTATCATGGTCCTTGTGGCTGCTTAGAGTACAGTGTCAGGTGTTGTTTATCATGGTTCTTGTGGCTGCTTAGAGTACAGTGTCAGGCGTTGTTTATCATGGTTCTTGTGGCTGCTTAGAGTACAGTGTCAGGCGTTGTTTATCATGGTTCTTGTGGCTGCTTAGAGTACAGTGTCAGGTGTTGTTTATCATGGTTCTTGTGGCTGCTTAGAGTACAGTGTCAGGCGTTGTTTATCATGGTCCTTGTGGCTGCTTAGAGTACAGTGTCAGGTGTTGTTTATCATGGTTCTTGTGGCTGCTTAGAGTACAGTGTCAGGCGTTGTTTATCATGGTTCTTGTGGCTGCTTAGAGTACAGTGTCAGGTGTTGTTTGTCATGGTTCTTGTGGCTGCTTAGAGTACAGTGTCAGGTGTTGTTTGTCATGGTTCTTGTGGCTGCTTAGAGTACAGTGTCAGGCGTTGTTTATCATGGTTCTTGTGGCTGCTTAGAGTACAGTGTCAGGCGTTGTTTATCATGGTCCTTGTGGCTGCTTAGAGTACAGTGTCAAGCGTTGTTTATCATGGTTCTTGTGGCTGCTTAGAGTACAGTGTCAGGCGTTGTTTATCATGGTTCTTGTGGCTGCTTAGAGTACAGTGTCAGGCGTTGTTTATCATGGTTCTTGTGGCTGCTTAGAGTACAGTGTCAGGTGTTGTTTGTCATGGTTCTTGTGGCTGCTTAGAGTACAGTGTCAGGCGTTGTTTATCATGGTTCTTGTGGCTGCTTAGAGTACAGTGTCAGGTGTTGTTTGTCATGGTTCTTGTGGCTGCTTAGAGTACAGTGTCAGGCGTTGTTTATCATGGTTCTTGTGGCTGCTTAGAGTACAGTGTCAGGCGTTGTTTATCATGGTTCTTGTGGCTGCTTAGAGTACAGTGTCAGGCGTTGTTTATCATGGTTCTTGTGGCTGCTTAGAGTACAGTGTCAGGTGTTGTTTATCATGGTTCTTGTGGCTGCTTAGAGTACAGTGTCAGGCGTTGTTTTCATGGTTCTTGTGGCTGCTTAGAGTACAGTGTCAGGCGTTGTTTATCATGGTTCTTGTGGCTGCTTAGAGTACAGTGTCAGGCGTTGTTTATCATGGTTCTTGTGGCTGCTTAGAGTACAGTGTCAGGCGTTGTTTATCATGGTTCTTGTGGCTGCTTAGAGTACAGTGTCAGGTGTTGTTTATCATGGTTCTTGTGGCTGCTTAGAGTACAGTGTCAGGCGTTGTTTGTCATGGTTCTTGTGGCTGCTTAGAGTACAGTGTCAGGCGTTGTTTGTCATGGTTCTTGTAACTGCCATCTTCTGGAGGAGTGATGAGAGTGCCAGTAAGAGTCATCGCTGCTGACCACACCCAACCAACAAATTCATGAAAGAAATACATATCACTGAAAGTCGTGTCAGTGTACCTGGAGTTTACCTGGAGAGAGTTCCGGG